AGGGGAGGGGGGAGGGGGGGGGGCAAATAATGAAGGCATAAAGTACTATAAGGATCATTGGCATATAACCTTTAATAGCTCTTAACCTGAACATGTGGAAGGTCACTGACCATTCTGTTCTCTCCACATAAGAAATACATTGCTATGGCAACAGTTATTGTCTCAATGAAACCTCTCACAAGAATATATATAATACAGTGTACACATACATTGAATTCCCAAACCTGCATTTGAATTTAAAAGGTATGAATTGCCCATCCTTGCATTATTATTCTTTAAACTTTGCCTGATTTACATTTATACATCAATGTTCCTTTCTTCTGGGGTCAAGTGCAGTCAAACCTCTTAAGGTGTGATGCATCCGAGTGTGTTTATGATTGAACTGTTTAGGGCTTACATATCTTTTAAACACAATATAAGGCATTTTAACAGCATTAACTGTGTTCTTATAGAAGAAGTGTAAAAAAGAAATTTGGTTTTCAGTATAAACTATGAAATTTATTTCATTTTTTTTCACCAAATCACAGTATGATATAATCTTTTATCATTTAATGTACTGTGCTATCCAGTGAATATACCAATGTAATATTTTTTTTGCATATTAACCTATGTGATATAACCTATCAGCCCTGTGATTGGTTGTAAGTTTCAATTGTTTCAACTGTGACGTCACACCTAGGACAAGTACATGACGTCACAGACTTACGCACCAGAGTCAAAATGGCGGCTTTTTACATTTCAAGGTTGAATGCAAATTGCCGTTTTACACAAATAAATGCCACAAATCTTGATTAGGTGATAAAATGGATCTTGCACTCATTTTCATTTCATATGAAATTTATGAAACTCGTCACAAAGTTTTCATTTTAGCTTGCCTAAATGAAAAAATCTTTAATCACAAATCTCGTATGAAATGGAAACTCATGTGAGATCCGATATATATACATAACTACTGAAATTGGATTTGGAAACCAGTTTTACAAGTTACATGAATACATCTCCAATTTAATGAAATTGTATACAGGTATCGTATGCCAAAGGTGACTGGAACATCTATATAAGACTATATATCTCGGATACATCTGACTAATGATTCTTAATATCATGTATAGATAAGATAGTATAATTCCAAATATATACGGTTGATCGACTCCAAAGTAATTTGATAAACACTGAACAGCTGTATTTCAGTATGCCTTATACTTCTAACTTCTCAATTTAAATATATATATATATTGTTTATAACTTTAAGTAAGATAGTTGCCCTATCACTGTACAAGGATACAGAAACTTCCAGCTGTCAGATTATCTGATCCTAAACAATCCAGCATCAATGGTATTACAACAGGGGCCATAGAACCCCATTATTCATCCTGATGATTTCAAGATTATAACGCTTTTTTTAAAGTAACTTTATAAATGGGCTTGTACAGATTTTCTCAAAGAAAATATATGTGAATTTTGATCACATTTCAACCTCGTAAAACTACTACAGTAAGTATTTTGGGTACAATATCATCCTGAATAGAGCATCATAAGGATGAAGTGCACCTAACAAGGGAATGGGCTTATTACTGAGTGTGAGCTTATCACTGGTAACTAGGGCTGTCACAATATATCGGAAAACTGGTTTATCGCAATACACGGGTATATAGTATCGTACCACAATACAGAGATGTTTTCAAAAGCATATTTTTATGTATCTGCTTGGTGTTAAACTTTGCAAATTACTACAAATTCTAACAGATATGCCAATAAGCATTAACAGGCTTTTACTACTGTAGACTCATTTATTTTTGTGGGGTTAAAATTTCGTGGTTTTCATATACTAGTCTGTTTCATGGACATTATATTTCGCTGATTTCTGATTTCCCCCCTATCTATATCATACCAAATTTATGTTTTCGTGGGGATTTAATTTTGTGGATTTTTGTTATCCTCGAAATAAACAAAATTTAATGTCCCACGGAAATTTATGATTTTGCATTAGTTCAGATTTTGTAATCAATGGTTGGTTTGACAAAAATCTTAAATCTATGTAATCCATATTATATATGATTAAGTTTGATAACATTCTGACAACAACTTATTATAAAATTGAGCACATCTTTCCTATGACAATATATCGGGATACGTATCGCAATATATTCATTCTGTATTGCAATATATCGTGATACACTCTTGGCGTATTGCGACACTCATACTGGTAATGTATATTTCGTTTTAACTATTCTTTGAAAAAATTAACCTGAATGCAATATTGTACGCCTTGCTTAACACTGTCTACTTCCCCTTCACCATGCTACTTAAGTACTCCCAGTGTCAGCTGGCCAGACATTGCTGACAATTAAAAGCAGACATTTTCGTTTAACTTGGGATGTTTCTTTAAATTCAATTATAGACGGATTTACCATTACTTTAGCAGACACCTAGTAAAACATGCCTCCTCAGCAAATTAAAGCCAGTCACTACCATAACTTCCGTACTGGATAAAGAAAAATCCCAAAGATGAGATGTCCAAGTAAGATACCATTAACTGAATTCTAGTTTCCACTAAAACATCGTTTCAAATTCAATTATATTTACATTTCATATTTTCTTATTTTGAAATATCAATATCAGTAATACATGAATCAGAACTATTTTTGTAAATTAATATGGTAAACTCATTTCAAGACTTAATGAATCTGCAGTCTTCACTATTTACAAAAATGCTTATTTTGATGTCATCACAACTTGTGACCTTGACCTCTGACCTTTCTGAAACAGTTGACATGATGAGATCTTGTAATTGGTATGCAGTATCTCTAGTGCAAATCAATTTCCATCTCATGAAAATCTGAGAGAAAGCACAAATGAAACCAAATTGAAAAACTATACAAAATTAAATAAGGGTTAATTTGTTATTTTGTATGTTAGGCTTAAAATAAATGATTAATCATGGACTGATTTGAACACATGCAATATGTTTAGGACCCAACAGCTATACATTGTATTTATAAATGTCATCTAGGTTATAAATTTACACCAGTCATACTAGAGAGGCTTTCTTCAAGAGTCGGGCAATGATATTTGCATGTTCAACATAAGGACTTAAATGTAAATTTGTTTTCGTCAAGAACTTGGTCTCCTGCCCATATTATATATATAAATGCTGAGGAAAGGACATTTTATATTCTGTGATCTCTCCTCACCTCGCTCTAACACCGGCCAAATAATACCTTGCTCAAATTTATATCTAAGATAAAAATCTTATGAGGTCAACACTGGAGTTATAAAAGTCAAATTCCTACCTTATAATATGAACATTTAATATTTAATATCGCGTTGTAGAATGGGTGGCCATCTCTCATCTATTCCTTTCATTATTACAAACGGCACACTCTTCCCGTAAGTAATAAATGATAAAAATATATACTTCTAGGCCACACAATCGTGTCTCCCTCACCCTAATCTGGATCAATATTTAACTAGATACACGCGATATTAATCGCTTGTGATGACACTGTGTCACTCGCCTGTTTCAAATTGTAATCAACAGGTGTAGACAGGTGTTATAAGTAATGATAAAACAGTTATGTTCCGGAATCCGAACATGTACATGTGCACACAGATGAATAAATATTGTCACTCTTCTATTTTTAAATCATAAACAGCTGACGGCATTCAAAATGCATGAATAAGCTGCAATGAACGGATAATCTTTAAATCACCACCGGGTGAGGTTTTCCACAGGTGTTTTAGGCATGTCGTTGAAAATGAACAAACTTTTCCTTACCTTGGGAGTTTGCAGAGGTGACAATCCATCCCACCAGAGGAACCATGAGAATCACACAAACTTTGAGATCCATCTTCGGTCCCTGTAGCACTATTTGGACCACGGGTACATCCCTCCGGTTCCAACTTACTCCGCAAGCCTTTTACAAGCAGACGCTACTTTCCGCCGAAAATCTAAGCACCCCATATACACTGGGCCAAAGGTGCGCTATAGTCCGTTTCAATATTTTGATATATAGCAACACACACACTTGATGGAACATAGGCGCGACTCGACTAGAAAGGTCCATGTAAGGACAATATACATAGGAACCTGTCTAAACCGGTATATGAATTGAAATAATCTGTCCATCTGTAGAATTCAGACATGTGATGCACATCAAGTGTAAATCGCTCTAAAATGAGATTTTAGTGTTAAGACAGGTTAAACCGTACTCGTCATGATAGATAGGTTTACTATGTGTTCAGGTACTATACACGTAGTACGTATATGCAGGTTTAATTACGTATACTCCCATATACAGGGCAAACTTCTCGTATAGGCAGGTTTAACCGTACCCCTACATACAGTTTTAATCACGCGTATAGACGGGTCTAATAATGCGTAAAGGCGGGTTTAACTCTTATTAACAGGTTTGTCACGGGCTACTCCTAAAGACATATTCAACTTCTCGGATAGACAAATTTAACTACTGGTATAATCAGGTTTAACTACTCGTATTAACAGGTTTAACTACTTGTATTAACAGGTTTAACTTCTCGTATTAACAGGTTTAACTACTCGTGTTAACATGTTAACTACTCGTATAGTCACGTTTAACTTCAAGTATTGAAATGTTTAACTTCTAGTATTATAACCAGTCTAACTTCTAGTATTGAAATGTTTAACTACTCGTATTAACAGGTTTAACTACTCGTGTTAACAGGTCTAACTACTCGTGTTTACATGTTTAACTTCTCGTATTAACAGGTTTAACTACTCGTGTTAACAGGTCTAACTTCTCGTGTTAACAGGTTTAACTACTCGTATTAACAGGTTTAACTACTCGTGTTAACAGGTCTAACTACTCGTGTTTACATGTTTAACTTCTCGTATTAACAGGTTTAACTACTCATGTTTACAGGCATAACTTCTCGTGTTAACAGGTTTAACTACTCGTGTTAACAGGTTTAACTACTCGTGTTAACAGGTCTAACTACTCGTATTAACAGGTCTAACTACTCGTGTTAACAGGTCTAACTACTCGTAATAACAGGTTTAACTTCTCGTATTAACAGGTTTAACTACTCGTGTTAACAGGTCTAACTACTCGTATTAACAGGTTTAACTTCTGGGGTTAACAGGTCTAACTACTCGTATTAACAGGCTTAACTACTCGTGTTAACAGGTTTAACTACTAGTGTTAACAGGTCTAACTACTCGCGTTTACATGTTTAACTTCTCGTATTAACAGGTTTAACTACTCGTGTTAACAGGTCTAACTACTCGTATTAACAGGTTTAACTTCTCGTGTTAACAGGTCTAACTACCAGTATTAACAGGTTTAACTGCTCGTGTTAACAGGTTTAACTACTCGTGTTAACAGGTCTAACTACTCGTGTTTACATGTTTAACTTCTCGTATTAACAGGTTTAACTACTCGTGTTAACAGGTCTAACTTCTCGTGTTAACAGGTTTAACTACTCGTGTTAACAGGTTTAACTTCTCGTGTTAACAGGTTTAACTACTCGTGTTAACAGGTCTAACTACTCGTGTTTACATGTTTAACTTCTCGTATTAACAGGTTTAACTACTCGTGTTAACAGGTCTAACTTCTCGTGTTAACAGGTTTAACTACTCGTGTTAACAGGTTTAACTTCTCGTGTTAACAGGTTTAACTACTCGTGTTAACAGGTCTAACTACTCGTGTTTACATGTTTAACTTCTCGTATTAACAGGTTTAACTACTCGTGTTAACAGGTCTAACTTCTCGTGTTAACAGGTTTAACTACTCGTGTTAACAGGTCTAACTACTCGTATTAACAGGTTTAACTACTCGTGTTAACAGGTCTAACTACTCGTATTAACAGGTTTAACTTCTCGTGTTAACAGGTCTAACTACCAGTATTAACAGGTTTAACTTCTCGTGTTAACAGGTTTAACTACTCGTGTTAACAGGTCTAACTACTCGTGTTTACATGTTTAACTTCTCGTATTAACAGGTTTAACTACTCGTGTTAACAGGTCTAACTTCTCGTGTTAACAGGTTTAACTACTCGTGTTTACAGGTCTAACTTCTCCTGTTAACAGGTTTAACTACTCGTGTTAACAGGTCTAACTACTCGTATTAACAGGTTTAACTTCTCGTGTTAACAGGTCTAACTACCAGTATTAACAGGTTTAACTGCTCGTGTTAACAGGTTTAACTACTCGTGTTAACAGGTCTAACTACTCGTGTTTACATGTTTAACTTCTCGTATTAACAGGTTTAACTACTCGTGTTAACAGGTCTAACTTCTCGTGTTAACAGGTTTAACTACTCGTGTTTACATGTCTAACTTCTCGTGTTAACAGGTTTAGCTACTCGTGTTTACAGGTCTAACCTCTCGTATTAACAGGTTTAACTACTCGTATTTACAGGTCTAACTTCTCGTGTTAACAGGTTTAACTACTCGTGTTAACAGGTTTTCTCATTTCGAAAGATTTCTTTTTCATAAAACGTGAACATATGTACCTACAATCCTTTCACACTGCGCTCACACATACATTGTGACAAAGATCTATTGTTGTTTAGACAAGGGGAGGATGTAGATCAGTCAATGCCCTAGTCTCAGTCAGCATCCTTGGTACGTCCACTAAGGATAATACGCGTATACTTTTTATCATGGTTTCTAAATTCAAGGAAACACGTTTGTATAGTTTACTTATTGCATATGGCATACTGCGAGCTCTCCATTGGTTTTATATGGAGTGTTAGCCTAGTTAAGAGGGATTCGAACTCTCTTTGGCCAGTCGTATCGCTAGTTGTCACCAGGACTTTCTCGTGTTGAACAATGATTGACGTAAAACCCTTATCCAGTATAGAAGCTGACGTGTAACCGGTAAATGTGTAGCGCCCACGTCATTTTCGTCATAATCCAAGCAAGGATTAAAATATAAAATCAGTTCATCGTGAATGCATCTGGTCAGGAATGTCTATTTTAATGTTTGGAGTCTAAAACGTGAATGTCCAACATAGAATGGGAAAAGTCAATCAATAATTATTTTTGTTTATTTCTTTACGTGTCAAACACTTTATATACAATTACAAAGGTAATAAAACAATAGTACAACATTGATATAATATGACTTTCTAAAAATAGTATATAGAATGACTCGTTTTTTGCGTTTAATCAAGGTTTACATAGACACAGGGGATAGATACATTGTAACACGTTGGCCGTAGCACAGGTACTTAATATCCAAAACTTTGAGAATTTACATATTCATTACATAGGAACCTATGGGCTATAAATATCACCCCCCCCCCCCCCTCAATTTTTGCATTAACCGTTAAACGGGGCGTATTTTGTGATTTACACGAGATATTTCTCTATGCACTATAACACACAGTATTAGAATGTCTGCTCCCTGTGTTATAACGATGTCAACAAGTTTTAAAATAAAGATTACGTATATATGATTTAAACAAATGGTGACATCATGTCTGAATTCCTTGTACATGTAGATAACGCTTGAAAAACAATGGCACAATTGTGTATTTTGGTCAGGAAATTATTAACAAAAGGCGGTCAAGTAGATACTCGTCAGTTACGACTGATATTATGAGTTGGTAGTTTTTAAACATGAGTGGGTTGGAGTCTTTGCGAGCGTGTAATAGATGCAAGTATACAAGAGTTATCTCCCCTTATATTAACTACACGTGATGGAAGGTATTAAGATGACTGGCTTTTCGCCCCTATATTATTACTCAAACCCGCCAAGGGCTTTTGATAGATAAAGAGTTCATAGAAATGCTATCATACTAAAATAATAATAATAATCGTCTTAATAAACAGTTTGTCATGTTGCTATTCTTTATGTTGGGAAAACTTACCAAAATGGTGATTGTCAAATTTTACAAATTGTCATACACAATATTCATAAATACTTATATCAGCCATTCAGTGAGACAGTAAGCTATATGACAAGTAAAGGAGTTCTCATTTCCCTTTAGTGAGATACAATGCAGGTCCATTGGGAAACTTGGCAAACTAGATGTATAAGAGAAAGACTACCCTTATCCCCATCCTCGATACTCCAGGGGTTACGCCCACTTACATTCTATACAGAGAGCACTAGTGGGCGTAACCCCGTACGTATGGAGGATGATTTACCCCCGCTTTGTAATCTTTGTGATTCATGTATACCATTTTCAAAGCGAATATTAAATTGCGCAGTGTTATTTATTTAATTTATAGCTTCTGTATAAACACCGGTTAGGGGAACGACACCGGAAATGCGTATCATTAATTTGTGGAGATGAACAGGCCAGACTGTAATGATATGATGGCTATTAGCAGTGATTAATTTCAGTTGTTGATTAATAAAATCTCCCCTTGCCTTGAGAGTAAGACAGAAAAAAAGCTCAACCCGTGGGTTGGTATATTTTATTGTCTAACCCAAGGGTTGTTTCAAGCTGAGGGTTAGACATTTTTGAATCTCACTACAAGAGTTGATATTTCTCGCATACCATTGATGTAAGGGGCGAATCTTTTTCTCCCATCACATCAATAATATATTTGAAAACACCTTGAGATAAGTTTGCGGTATTGAAGGTGTCCGAGTATGATAATTAGATGAAACGAGAAAAGGTGAAATCTAGGAGATCTCTGTCTATATCTGAAAGTATTTTGAATGTTCAATTTAGCTTGATACTTCAATCAAGTTATATATTTCTAAATATCTTTTGCATTAAAGAAATGTACAATAGAAATGGAGTACAAATTCAGGATTAGGATTTTCGAACAAAATAAGCATACCAGAACAGTTTTGGACCCACTAGACTGCGATAATGAATAAAAAAGTGTTTCCGTCTTCATAAAAAGTTTGGAAGCTCCATGGTTTTATTTTAATATCATTTCAAAAAATGTTCCTATAAGATTCTTTTTCTTTTTCTTTTCGTTGACATTTTGTTAAGTAAATGTGACACTGCGCTCAGCGAGGCT